ATGCGTAGAACTCACGTTGGAAATTCAACGTGAATCAATTCGATTTCTCCAGAGCTATGCCCACCCTTAACCTGCGAACGGGCATGCTCGGGGAACGAGATTGGTATCTGTCGCGAAATCTTGCGAAATTTCGCTTTTGTGAAGTGGAAACACCACATGAATTATTTCTGGCAGTGTTTCCACTTTCAAGGAAATTTCCTTTTTCAAGGAAATTTTGACCGAAAAAAGACGTTTCAAGGAAAAAAAAGGAATCAAGGAAATCTAAGGAATTTTTGAAAATTCTAAGGAAATTTAAGGAATTTTTGAATCAACTGAAATGTTTTGAAGATTCTTATCAGTTATAGACCTGAAACGAGGGGTATTCCACAAAAAATTACCCTGCGGGATGAAATATTCCGAGGGCGAAGCCCGAGGAATATTTCATCCCGCAGGGTAATTTTTTGTGGAATACCCCAAGTGAAAGGTCTATAACTGATAAGAATCAAGTGAAAGGTCTATAACTGATAAGAATCAGGAACCTTTCATTAAATTTAAATTATATTACTTTCCTTCGTTCATAACCAATATGTCCGTGTGCAAAAATAAAAATAACCTCTTTCGGAGCTTGTGACCGACTGACCGAGTCAGTAGAATCTAGAATTATGAATTAAACTAAAAATTGTTGTGTAAAGGCTTTGTTTTTATGAGCTGTACGAAAGAAATATACCATTCTTTTTCTGTGTTACTTTATATAAGTATTTAGTATTGATGAATTCTAGTTGCCAAAATATACTTCGATTAATCAAGGAAATTTCAAGGAAATTACATCCCATTTCAAGGAAATTTTAAAGCAAAATCAAGAAAATTTGAGTGATGCGTTGTGGAAACACTGATTTCTGGGCGCCATATTTTTCATACTCGTATTGTTTGCAAACTGTGTCTCTGAATATTCTCGTTTTTATGATCAGAAATTCTGTAAGAACCAAAGTGTCATAAAGATTTAATAAAGAACGACTCGAGGGAACAGTTGGGTGGTATTTTTATCGATATTTGACCGTATGGAGAAAAGATCAAAAGCTGAAACCACGTCTAGGAAATGCGAGGTTTCTAACAAGGTATTTTCTACGAAAGGAAATTTGGTGAGACATGCATAAAACTAAAAGAACACACACTGGAGACAAACCTTATGAATGTGATGTTTGCAATAAAAGATTTTCAAAGTCAAGCTCATTAACTAGACATGAAAGAACACACACTTATTGTCACACCGGAGACAAAGCTTATGAATGCGATGTTTGCAAAAAAAGATTTTCACAATCGAGCAACTTACTAGCTACCCATAAAAAAACACATACTGGAGAGAAACCTTATGAATGTGATGTTTGCAACAAACGATTTTTGCACTCAAGTCACCTAGCGGTTCATAAGAGAACACACACTGGAGACAAACCTTATGAATGTGATGTTTGCAACAAAAGATTTTCACACTCAAGTCACTTAGAGGTTCATAAGAGAACACACACTGGAGAGAAACCTTATGAATGTGATGTTTGCAGCAAAAGATTTTTTGACACAAGCACCCTAACTAGACATAATCTCACACACATTGGAGACAAACCTTATGAATGTGATGTTTGCAACAAACGATTTTCACGCTCAAGTCACTTAGCGGTTCATAAGAGAACACACACCGGAGAGAAACCTTATGAATGTGATGTTTGCAACAAAAGATTTTCACACTCAAGTCACTTAACAGGTCATAAGAGAACACACACTGGAGAAAAACCTTATGAATGTGATGTTTGCCACAAAAGATTTTCACACTCAAGTCACTTAACAGGTCATAAGAGAACACACACTGGAGAGAGACCTTATGAATGTGATGTTTGCAACAAAAGATTTTCGCAGTCAAGCAATTTATGTGTTCATAAGAAAACACACACTGGAGAAAATTTTACCTTATGAATGTGATGGTTGTAAGAAGAATTATGTAGGAATTATGAAATTAGAAAACGTAGTTCAGTCGGCCTGTAGTTGGTTTTCAAAATAAAAAAGTATTTGTTGCGAATGCCAGGGGATCTCCCGTGGGGGTTCATGTTGCTCACTGGGGTACACACCTCACCTGGTGCTGTCTTGCACCCTTGTTGTTCATGCATTTTCTGGTTTTCGAATAGCGAGTAGAGGAACTTCTACTGTTAGCGAGTGTTGATTTCTTGAATATTGATTTGTGAGCTCACTAGAAAATACTCGGGAATGCTTGAGTTAAATATTAAAGTGGAAGTCAAGTCTGTATGTAAACAAACGGTTTGTTTACATTATAAACTGCTGTATTTTTTTTTTAATATGATGTAATGTCTGAATATCTAACACCATTTTGGTTCGCTATGCTTCTAAATGAATATGATATAGAGTTTATGTTCAGAAAAATTCGAAACATTTGAAATTTGGGCAATGTTTGCATTAGAGGATCCTCACATTGTTATGAGCAGAACCGACGCGCAGAACGGACTTGACTTCCACTTTAATATCAAGATTAATTAAATGTGTAAACATGTCGAGAATGAGATTGTTATATATACAGCCATATTTTCAAATATACTGTACGTTAAGAAGCAAATTTACTGCACTCTGGGGCTCCCCTAGTACAAGTGCCAAAGGCACGAGTTGAGCGCTGTATATGCACAAGTTTCCTAGAGGTCCAGGGTATGCTCATCCGGAAATTTTTTGAATCTAGACTCTGTAAAATGCCATTTGGGGAGAGATTTTACAGAATTCTGATGGTCAGAAAACGACATTGTGACATATTGGAAGCCCTGGGCAATGTTTTTGCTCTACAGTCTGAGCCTGGGGGGGGCGCCCCCATTTGGCCCATTGGGGTGGGGGCCCCCGGGTTCGCCCAGTCCGAGCCCATAGTAGTTACACCATTGCTCTGCTACAGCAACTGGCCAGTCACACATAAAAAAACCTGTCCAGTCGCACATCAAACTGAAAATTAGTGACAAGGGGCGACCCCAATTTTATAATATTTTCCTACAATCTCATACCCAGAGTCATGCCATTTACCAGTAACCTGTGAATGAGCAGAACTCCGGGGACAAGATTGATTTTCCTATTCATTTTCAATCTCTCACCTTTATGTCCTTTATTGTATCCCATAAAATATTTTACCTTCTGTTAGTTCCTATAATTGTAGTTTATGTAGTTTATTACGTATATGCAGTTCACCATAGGAGTCGGAGTATTAAAAATAACCATTTTGAATACTGGTCCTCTAATTATTTAGGCTACACAATGTCTTACACCAGTACTTGTCCCATTACCTATTTTACACCAAAAAATGTAACGAATTAAATGTTGGAGGGAGGGGTGCAGTGTGACCAGATATTTTGCAAGGCAATTACCAAAACACAGAAAAAATTACTAAATTTCTGCTGTCAACCAAAGTGGTCTGAATCAATGAAACATAAAACTAAATCAGTAAAACTCTTTCCATCCCTGAAACTATGTTTTTTCCATGTTTTTCTTTCTCACTTGTACAGTTAATTGAATTTGTGCAAAATGCAAATATGGTGCCTCAATTATCGGGCCTCGGGTTCCTAGCAGGCAATCAGCACAGGGTGAATGGTGATCACTGATAGTGATCAGCAGGATTCCGTCGATTCAGCTGGACAATTTGGGCCAGCATCTTGCAATTTGGATGTACAGCTTTGCAGGCATAAACATGCAACTGAATTTTTGAATAACAGGTTGTGTCATGGCATATTTGCTTGAATTTCATGCGATACGAATTTTTGAATAACAGGTTGTGTCATTATGGCATATTTGCTTGAATTTCATGCATTTCAACTTTATGAGAAATTACTAAAAAAATTACCAAAAATTTTCAATTACCAAAAAAAGTCAGAAAAATCGTGAAATATTACCAAAAGTAATTAAAATTACCAACTCTGTTCACACTGGGAGGGGGGGGGGGGGCTCCTAAGTTTTTCTACATGAAGGTGGGGGCATCTAGAAAATAAAGGTCTTGCGATTGGGGCGGATCTAAAAATTTCAATATTTGGTATTTGAATATCACCCCCCGCTCCCATTAGCCCCAGAAAGGCTACCTAATATAAATGACCCCATGGAGAACTAGCATCATGCAGAAGCTAAATTTTATTACAGTATTCACGATAGATATTCTGCTTGCATTTCGCCTTCTTTCCAACAAATGTTTGCCACAGACTTATTCATTTTGTTTTACCAAAGTAACTTTTCGCAAACATATTTTCAACTGGAATTATAAAGTTTTTATAAAATTGAAAATTTGCAAAAATACAAAATCAAGACAAAGCGCGCGGGCTCGTTTTTGACTAAATACCAACATTTGATTGGTTAACTCAATTTCTCCAACCAATTGGAACTCGTGATTTTTGTTTACCAGAGAACCGCTGGCCGTACTTCATTTTTCCAAAATTCACTAACACAGCAAAAGTGAACTAGAATTCTGCTCGGGCTTAAAAATGTGCGTGAAACGCCAGAAAATTTTAGAAATGGCTTTCCTGAGGGAGGAACTTTAATAAAGCCGAGTACAAGACATGTAAAGATGAGTTTGTCGCCGTCAAGCGGTAGGAATACGGCTCGGAATTTGGGAGAAACTGACCAAAATGAGTCGAGTGCTGGTCGCGATGCATCGGATATTTTCGAATGTCTGACGCTAGAGTTTGGTCCTTATGAAACAGTACATAGATGGGAACGTATGCCAGCTTGTGATGAATTTGTTGGGGCGAGGTATGTGGTGTATTTTTTAAATTCTCTCGCAAACCAGAGCTGTAAAATTATATTTATATTTTGACAATGTGTCTGGCCGAAAATGACGTCATTCAAGACGTCATAGTTGATGGTAGCACCACAGAATAAGAAGGTACTGCAGAAGCGTCACTCGAGTAGGTTCCCTTATTGTTTTACGTCCACGAAAATTTTAACTCGCCCACACCATCCTGGCTAGTACAACCGGAAGTTTTTATCTGGTTTTGGTAGGTACAAAGTGCCGGTCGTACTAGGCTAGCCAGGATGGCGTGATTGATGACGAATCGCTAGTAAAAACGCGGACAAATATTTGCTTGAGTGAGTCTGCTGTACCTTTCTATTCTGTGGTAGCTCAGAGTAGAGACATACAGAGACGTAACTAGTGTACCCACTTTTTTTTGTGCGCATGCTCGGCAAGTTACTAGATGCATGCACTTGATTGGATGACAACTCACAATAAACTTGCTGAGCACGCTCAGTTGATGATTTTTCGCCCCGTCGCCTGAAAAAAAGAGGGTACGCGATAACCTAAGCTTCCGCAGTGTTTACGACTGTCAGTTACGTCTCTGTATGTCTCTACTCTGGGGAATAGACCAGTCTTATGCATAATGTCACAAGGCTTGATGCTTATGAGGAATGCTTGTCTTAGTAGTCATCAAAATTTTGACCGTGGGCATTTTGAATTGTTTAATTTTCCCGCACGATGACTACTATTGGACCAGCATTTCCATTTTGCATAATTTTGCATGACGTCATTTTGCATATTGACTGATTCACTGTTTGTTGTATGTTAGGGTTACTTTAGCACTTTCCCTCTGACAGGTAAAATCGTCTGGCATTAGACTTAGAGTAAAATGATAAAGTAGGACGCATCTGGGCGCATTAATGCCATTTAAAGGGTTATCATCAGTTATTATTACTCCAAGTCATTGTCATTTACTCAATGTCCAGTAATATTTTGTAATTTATTCTCTTCTCTACAGACGCAGCAAACATACAATGGTCGCTTACAACAATGCTTTGTATGTCTTTGGTGGCGATGATGGGTATGTTACTAAATCATCTGGTCTTAGACAGAGGAAAATAGTTGTAGTGATTCACTGATAATTGCGCCCTGATGTGCCCTACTTTATTATTTTACTCTGTCTAACGCCAGATTATTTTACTCTCTAAGACTTTTTCTAACGCCAGCCAACTTTACTCCTCAAGGGTAAAGCGCAGCAGGGCCGCAGAGAGGGGGGGGGCCTGAAAATTTTTTGTTGGGCCCCAGTCTTTTTTGTGTGTTAAATATTTCTGCGGAAAGGACAAGATATCTGTTTTCTTGGGCTAAGTACCAAAATTTGGCATAAAAAATGAGATAAAGTCCCTGTAAAGCAATTGGAATGTACTTGTCCGGAAAAATTTTCTACTCCTGAAAAATTTTTTTTACTCCTAAAATGGTACACTGACCAAAAATATTTTGGCGACGGGGAGGGGGGGGGGATTTTTTCCGGAAAAATTTTTTAGATAGGGCCCCCCCAAAAAAAAATTTGCCCCGGGCCCCCGCCAACCTCTTGGCAGCCCTGGCGCTTAATGGGTTAACTGGCCTATCTGCATGCTCATGTGTCTAATAGTTATTAACCCAATTTAGCTGCGAGACACATAACATCGACTTTTTATAATTTTTTGGACGAATGATCATAGTAAATTTACTTTAGAAAAATTGCTTTTCACATTGTTTTAATTGTCTGCATTGGTTAACGAGAATTAGATGCCACCCAAAAATGGCGGATATTTGTCATCGTGAGAAAGGCTACTTGAGTCGCATTGCGCCCAACTTTATTATTTTACTCTCTCTGACGCCAGATTATTTTACTCTGTCTAATGCCAGACAAATTTACTTGTCAATGGGAGAGTGCTGGCGCTTGATGGGTTAATTAATTAACCAAAATATCTGCCAATGTGTATATTAACCCATTGAGTACTGGTACCAGTATTCTCCCCTTGGTAAGTAAAATCATCTGGCGTTAGACAGAGTAAAATAATAAAAAGTAGCTAGTCACATTGGAGCGCAATGCAATACAAATGCACCCAACCACTGTAATTTTACTATCATCGCCTGATGGCAGACAATTTTACTCGATCCTCAAAAGACAGTGTCTTGCCATTCTATCTTGCCATTAAGTTAACCTGTAATATATACCTAAATGCACTGTCTTTGCCAGTGTACAGTAGATAGTGCCAATGAAATGGACATGCTTTTGTTGGTAAGAATTCAACTACCTGAAAATATATAATGCCAAATAAACATAATAGTGGGTTTCAGGTTTCCGACCGACCTGTCAAAAACATGACCGACCATAAACATTTTATTGACATTTCCTAGTAGTGAGCATCTTTTCGTAATTAGCAGAATATATAAATAGTTATCAGACTCATTTGTCTACAAATTATTTTGTTTGCTTATAATCTAATTCATTATCTAGTCATGTTAATCATAGTTTTACACAAAGAGCAGTTGAATAAAATATTAAAAACGTACATTATTCTCTGTATTCTGACATTGAAACTATGGCTGAAAAAATATGAAAATGCTTAGTTGATGCATTTGTTTCTCGCGAAATACATGTAGCTTGCATGTGTACTTTGTGAAACACATGTGAAAACAATAAAAACTAAGAGTTTATAATGAGTTTTAACTTATATTTATTGCATACTTGAGATAAAATATTTTTTTAAAATAAAATGTTTTTCCGACCTACCTACCCATATAAAACATGGCTGTGAAACCTGAAACCAACTATTATTTTTATTTGGCCTAAGGAAAATTTCTATGTTTTGAGTGAATAGGACCTTTGTAAGTCTGGACAAAGACTCTTCAAACGGCCCTTCAGGCTTCAGTAAGCAAAGGACCCTTCAGTAACTCCAGACAAAGGGCCTTTGCTCGAAACGTCGGAAATTCTCCTCATATATTTTCAGGCAGTTGCATATCCCTACCAACGAAAGCTTGTTCATTATACAAATAATGAATGTTTATGAGTGCAATGGTAAGAATATTTTCATGAGGTGAAAGATGGAATGTTCCATTCAACGAGGCGACAGCCGAGTTGAATGGAACATTCCATCTTTCACCGAGTGAAAATATTCTTACCATTGCACGAATAAAAACATTCATTATTTGTTTTATATAATACCAAAATAGAGTAATATTAAAAGGTTTACTGCAAGCTCCCGCCATTTTGACGAGTCGTATTTGCATTAAATCCCATTTACTGAGTTTCGAATATCGGGTTAAAATAAACTGCGATCACCGTACGAGAAGCATTTTGACGGATGCGATTTATCGAAAACACAAAGAGTGCAATGGAATAAAACGTATAGTACAATTGCACTCGTAAGAGTGCAATGGAACGTATTCCATTGCACTCTTGGGAAATGGAATTTTCTTTTCAATATCACGTGACCATAAACAGCCAATTAAACGATCAGAATTCAATAAGGTATTATATAAACCTAAATCTCCTACTTTATTATGTTACTCAGTTAGGTGATTTTACTCTGTCTAATGCCGGACAGTTTCATGTGTCGAGGGAAAAGCAAGTGTAATAGCAAACAAAATCGTTTTGCATCAGATCAGGTTGTACAGATTAAAGAAAAGATATACCTCAATTTAATTTATTTTTCTACAACAAAACGTCTGTATATTGTCAATAATTATTTTCCACTCAGAGAATGGCACTACATTCATGCCACAGCATGCACAATTTAATTTCTAGCTCTGTGTCAATTATATATTCTTCTGCAAACTTTAGGAAACGTATGTTGAATGATTTGTTACGTTTTGATGCAAAAGACTGTTCTTGGGGAAGGTAGGATAGCCATTCGATTGATTGGGGGAGGGGGTGTAGAAAGGTGTGTACACCCCTTCTTCTGGAACAATAGCATAGATTTGAGCCTGTCAAGGTGATCTTGTCTGTGAAAAACATGCTAAGCAGAAACCTAAACTGAACTAACTTTAATTATACTACTAGATAGCTCTATCAGTTTTAAGCTGTTCTTTCTAGAGGTCCAGTAAGGATCATCTTCTATTAATTCAGTGTTACTGCAGGAGGAAACCTAAACTGAACTAACATATTATACTAGATAGCTCTATCAGTTCTAAACTGTTCTTTCTAGAGGTCCAGTAAGGATCATCTTCTATTAATTCAGTGTTACTGCAGGAGGGAACCTAAACTAAACTAACTTTATACTGGATAGCTCTATCAGTTTTAAACTGTTCTTCTTAGAAGTCCAGTAAGGTTCATCTCTTATTGATCCAGTGTTACTACAGGAGGAAACCTAAACTAAACTAAGTTTATTTATACTGAATAGCTCTATCAGTTCTAAACTGTTCTTCCTAGAGGTCCAGTAAGGATCATCTTTTATTGATCCAGTGTTACTACACGAGGAAACCTAAACTAAACTAACTTTAATATTTATACTGGATAGCTCTATCAGTTCTAAACTGTTCTTCCTAGAGGTCCAGTAAGGATCATCTCTTATTGATCCAGTGTTACTACAGGAGGGAACCTAAACTAAACCAACTTTATTTGTACTGGATAGGTCGGTAAGGGTCATCTCTTATTGTTTCATTGAATCTGCCGTTTCCCAGGAAAACCTACTGTACTGTTTATTAGAGTCGCACTGGAAGTTATACTTTCTAACATACGAATGGGTTGAAATTAATATTATCAAACCAGTGCTGTTAATCCCAGAGATTGAAAACAGAAGCAGTATAATAATCACTGTGCCATCAACGAATACTGAAATTCTACTCTCTGTATTTCATGTTTAACAGAGTGGTAACCACAGGCAACCCTCCAGCACCAAGATATAACCATTCTGCTGTTGTTTTTGCCACCAGTATGTTTGTCTTCGGTGGTTTTACAGGTATGACTATAATAATGTTTTGTACCTGTGAAACAATATACATTCCAGTGTTGACCTTTTTGATACTTTTGGTACAAAACTTTGAGGGTTTATCAGTATGCTATATATTTGAAGGTCGTAGCCTACAGTAAGCTGTCGTGATTTGTGTGTGAACTACCTGAAAAAGATATCTCAAACGTGATGGTCCAGTGTGGGTAGTATTCTACAATAAGCTGCCGTGGTTTGTGCCTGAACTACCTGAAAAATATATCTCAAACATGGTTGTCCAGTATAGGTAGTATTCTACGTCTACGATAAGCTTTCGTGGTTTATGTTTGGACTCATCTATTTAAAAAGATTAATTAAAAATACATCGAGCGAAGGCAATTTATCAGAAGGTTAGTTAGTTAGATTCAAGTGGGGCATTTAATTAACCAATTGCAAACCAGTATTTATAATATGAGGTGATGACCACCCGTGACGGTACATTAAATGTTCTATCTTGTGTAAACAAATGCCGGTCTGCAAAAGACGCTTAATTTTAAAGCATTTTTACCGAAGCGCGGTTTATCTGTTGCTTTAAAGTCGTAATTTTGCGAAAACTTCGAAGCAAATTTTGATACAGACTTCATCCACATCGATCGTAATATAAATGTGCTCAATTTATTAAGACGGCTTTTTCTTGGTATAAAATGCCATTTTCTTGGAACTCATTCTATATTTTCAATTAAGAAATTGTTTGTTTTCATGATGAAACCAATTACGAGCCAGTATTAGTATGAGGTGATGACCTCTGGTCACAAGACATTCAATATTCTATTTCATGCCTGCAAATTCCTGTTTTGTAAAGACGCTTTAAACACTTTATGCGGAAGCGATATTTGTCTGCTGCTCTAAACAGATCATTTTGTTAAAGATTTGAAGCAAATACTAACACAGACCTTCTCGAAGAACGAACACTTATTGTATCTATCTGTATTTTGTCGATATAGCGAGGTTTATACTGCAGAGCGACTGATATCAACACAAAACTTGCTTTGGCATAACGAAACAAGGACGGCGTGAAATATATGGCGTCTTATGTACCAGGCTTTGACGAGGAAAGGTTTGTGAGCACAGTCAATCGAAATTTCATCTGTTCGATTTGCTTCAATGTCCTTAAGGACCCGGTTCTGTGTCCGAGAAATCAACATTGTTTCTGTCGTGGTTGTATTACGAAACACCTCGAGAATTCACGAAGATGTCCTACGTGTGCGGACGTACTGACTGTAGCGACTTTGGCCGAGGCAAGCAGAATGGTAAAAGATATTTTAAATGAACTGGATATTCATTGCGTTCACAAGAACAGAGGTTGTCAAGATGTCGTACAATTACAACATCTTGAACGCCACGAGACTACGTGTGGATTTACGCCAGCCGTTTGTTCAAACCAAGGCTGTGGTGTAATTGTAAACAAGCGTGATCTTATTCACCACGAAAGTGAAGTTTGCGAGTTTAGAAAGTTGAAGTGTCATTCGTGTGGAGAAATGACAAAAACGCTGGCGGATATGGAGAAAAAAATTGTAAATCTGGAGAGAAATATGGCGACGAAGATAACAGTGGAAACAAAAATGGCGAGTATTAAGACGAAAGTGGCGAATGTTAAGAGGAAAGTGACGAATGTTGAGACGAAAGTGGCGAATGTTGAGAGGAAAATGGCGATTATGGAGACAAACATGAATAGGGGTATGGCTGATATAAAAACAGATATGGAAGGAAAACTCGAAGCAGTAAATAATGAGGTGAAAGGATTGAAAACAGCTTTGATTGAAGGTTTTGATGAAATGAAGGATGTTCTTGTCAAGGTGGAGGACAAGATAGAAGAAAACCCAAGAAAAAGAAGACGTACAGCAAGTGGTGATAAGGAAAACATAATTGTTGCTGGAGGTTATGGAACTGATTCTGTAGAGATGTTTAACTGGCGTCAAAGAACATGGTCGCCATTACAATCCTTGCCAGAAGAGCGTTATGGAGCGACTGCGTTTGTTTACAACAATCATGTAACAGTAGTTGGGGGTGAATGTTGTGATTCTGGCTATATGCATGATATGATTAGCATGAATACTGACCCAAACTTTCATGTCGCATCATATTGGAGTAAGTGTCGTGTTAAACTACCTGCTAAGTTGTCATACCACAGCAGCGTACTGTATAACGACCAATTGATAGTCACTGGCGGTGATAATGGGAATGATACATCTGACTGTATTGATGTAATACAGCTTAGTCTTCCCTATACTGTGAAGACGTTATCAACAATGCTAGAACCAAGACAGCGTCACAGCACGGAAATATTTAACGATGATTTGTTGATTGTTGGTGGAAGTACAACTGACAGATACCAGGACAACCTCAGCAGTGTCGTACTGTATGATATAAAGAAGAATGAATGTAAACAGTTGGCACCACTGCCACGTGAAGTGAGTGAGATGGCAACTGTGAGATGGGGAGACAACATTGTTGTTATAGGTGGTATTGACAAACGTGGCAATATATTGAATTCAGTTGTCATGTACAATGTTAACACGGGTCAAAATCGCACGCTGCCGTCAATGAGATGTAAGAGATGGGGATGTACTGCAGTTGTTATTGGAAACAACATTGTAGTACTGGGAGGAGTGGGTGAGCAAGGACGTGATCTGAAGTCAGTCGAAGCTTTCAACTTTGAAAGTTATACTTGGCAAGAACTTCCAGAAATGTCGCAAGAAAGATGGCTTCACACTGCTGTTGTTGTGTGAACAATCTAAGAATGTTGAACTCGCTTCTTTAATATAATAATATAGAGACTATAATCATATTATGAACAATTTAAATTGGAGTTAAAATCGAAGTGATAGTTTGGTATTATAAGTTTTTTCAACTATATGAATATATTATTGAACCACACTATCACGTAACGAGATGTGTTCGCAACAGACCTGTAGCAAGCTTGTCAACAAGTTGTAACAATGATGTTATTTATCAAGTTGCTACAAGGTTGTCACTCATAACTTGTTTAACAAGTTGCTGAATTGCAGGACGATGACATGTTGTTGGAATAACTTTAACAAATTTGTTGAGAGTCGACGACTTTGTAGTAACTTGTCAACAAGCCGGAAACAAGCAGTCTTGGTACAAGTCTGGTGCTAGTTTGTCAATGTTTGAAAAAGAGAATGAATAAGTAGGGCCTAAACGTAATATTGTGAACGATTTCTTTCATAATTTAATAATAGTATAGAAACACGTTGTAATTGTTTTGTTTTGTATTATCAAATGCCATCATGGATAATAAAATCAATTTTAGAATTCTGAAATCTCTGTAGTCTTTTATCGTGTTTACACGAAGCATGAAAGTGGGTATTTTGGGATATTATTTTTTCAGATAGTTCAGACATAAACTACGACAGCATATTGTCGAATACTGGACCACTACGTTTGAGATATTATTTTCAGGTAGGTCAGACACAAACCACGACAGCTTATTGTAGAATTATACTACCTACACTGGACTACCACGTTTGAGATATCTTTTTCAGGTAGTTCAGACACAAACCACGACAGCTTATTGTAGAATACTACCTACACTGGACCACCACGTTTGAGTTATCTTTTTCAGGTAGTTCAGACACAAACCACGACAGCTTATTGTAGAATACTACCTACACTGGACCACCGTCACCGCTAAGGACATTGTATCTTTTTAAATAAACCTGATATTAATTTTATTTTTCAAAGGTGATATCAATTCGAATTCAAATCTACTCAACAGAAATGATCTTTATGAATTCAAGTTCACCAATGGTCATTGGTGTCATTGGCCAATCGAAGGAAGGTAAATATCGGTCGGTTGGGTTAAGGTCCAGACACACCAGACGCGATTCAACAACGCCACGCGATCGATAACATTGATCCTAGTTTAAATTTTCCAAATATTTAGACGCGTTATAACATTTTCAGTTATTTGGTCTACATATCTTTTAAAATTTGCTCTCATTGGCTGTTTTATATATTAAATTTTAAAAACTAAAAAATCGCGTCCCGTTGTCGAATCCCATCCGGTGTTTCTGGACTTCAGTCAGAGAGGCACACACTTCTTCGCTCTGTCATTTTAGAGTAGTTTTATATGGTTAACCCAACTCCTGACGTCATCAAAACCATAGTTAATGAGGTCAAGAATTAGGCCAAGATGGCAGACACCTCATTAATTTTGGTCTAAATATTTCGAGAACTAAGCAAGATATGACAAATCGGTAATAGAGTTTAATATATAATTTTAAGAGTTCTTTTGAATGAGACAAACTCATTTTTTATTGCCAATATCCTTTAAACAATTCTGGACAACTCATGTGAGTGGACAACGACATGAAAATTTATATTTTTTGTTCGAGTTTCAATTAATTGTACATTTGACTATTGCAATAGGCAGCCTTAATTGAAATAGATGTACATATTGTATACTTAGGACGATTCTACGATATGAAAGACAATAGGTCTAAGTATTTCGAGAACTAAGCAAGATATGACAAATCGGTAATAGTGTTTATATAATAACTACAGTGAAACACGCAATTTGATTGGTCAATAGCCGTGCGGGATCAGGCTATCCTGCACGAGGAATTGAAATGCCTTCGCGGGATTTTCGCGGGATTCTCAAAATATCATTGTTTCACTGTAGTTATTTTATAAAACAATTACCAAATGGTTTTCCAAGCAGGATAGCGTGATCCATGCACTTGGGATGTTGCTCGACTTTCGGAAAGCGTAAAAATACACTCGCTTGCGGCTCGAGTATTTTTACGCTTTCCAAAAGTCTCGCGACATCTCTCGTGCATGGATCACGCAATCCTGCACGGAAAACCATTTGGTATTCCTTTATTAATATATAATTTTAAGAGTTCTTTTGAATGAGAGAAACTTTTTTATTGCCAATGTCCTTTAAATACCAAATAAATTTATAATTTTGTTGCCAATGTCGTATCAATATCTAGTATACAATATAGAAACTGATCTCAAACTGATCTTACCTCGCAGGGTACCTCCAGCACGCTCAGCCCATGGTGCCGCCGTTTATAATCAAAAGTTGTGGGTGTTCGCAGGCTATGACGGCAGTAAGAGGTGAGCTTTCTATCGGGTTTTAACCAATCGAGTTTTTGGGTAAGGGAAGCGGTTATTATTTATTCGGAGGGG